TGGCTGGCAAGCTCCATTCTTTCTGAATTCAAGTCTGCTTTTAGCATTTCCCCACTTTCAATGGGAGTCAAACTCCTAACAAAGATAAGTTTTAAGCAATCCATTTGAGAAGAAATAATCTGTAACCAGAACTTGTATAGTCTCTCAGGCTTGGTCTACACTAAAGGAGAAAATCAACTTAAGATATGCAACTCCAGCTACGTAGCTGGAATCAAAGTATCTTAAAATCACATTTTGACACCATCCACACGACAGGAGGTCAATGGGCGCATACTCTGTCGACTTCCCTTATTCCTCATAGAAGCAGGACAACCGGCGTCAATGGAGCACCCTCTCAGTTTGAATTAGTGTGTCTTCACTAGACCCTCTAATTTGAACCTTGGAAAATTGACTGCAGCAGCTTCGATCTTTTCTGCAGTGTAGACAAGTGTGATGTAAATCCGCAGTCAATGCCAACAGAAGTCTCAATGCTAATGTGAGCTAGTCTTACTTGTGCAGGTTTTCTGTTGCCATAAACAGCACCGTTTGTATTAGCCTCACGGCTGCAACGCCACATTCCTGGGACTGCTCCCAGACAGCTGAACTGTACCAATAAGTTACCCATGCCCTGTAGGGCTACATCTACACTCGTGGCTTCTTGCGTGAGAAATATGCAAATGAGTCTAAGCATGGAATATCGCTGAGCCTCATTTGCATACCTAATAAGTCACCATTTTTGCAGAAGAGGCTCTTTTACCAGAAGGAGCTGTCCACACTGCCCCTTACTGCGCAAGAAAAACCCTCTTGCGCAATGCCTGTATGCTGATTGTCAGGAATAACGGCAAATGAAAAAAAATGTTTTGAAATGGTTGAATGGTTTCATTTTTGAAAAACTTCTGGCTTCCAGTTGGACATGGCTTTTTGTGTAGAAGTACAAGCTGATCGTAGTAAAAGAGAATATGGTCAACATCTTTTGGTGCTTCAGGGTATGGTGAAAGCTTTGTTTCTGCCCACCATCATACAGACACACTCAGGGACAGAGGTGTGTGTGTGTGTGTCTGTCTATGCAGTTTGTACTAGCAATAGGGAACCCATCTGAAGGGCTTCTCTGCACAAAACGTATACTGCTGTAACTCGACAATGCTAGTGTGGTCACAGTGGTACCAGAATAGTAAATATTCCCATATGAAAAGCAGAATAAAAACTAAAATGATATAAGGCAGCTTTATACTGGTACAACTGTGTCCACGCTAGAGGTTGTACTGAAATAACTGGTATATGAAACCTCACCCCCTTGCCTAAATACATACTAGTACAAATCTGTGCATAGGTGAGGTCTTTAGACAGGTCATATATGGTACATACATTCCTCAGTATGTAACAGTACTTAGCAGTTAGCTGTATAGCACTGAACATTTACAAAGTGCTGTGGTCATCTATGTGTGTTCCACTAATGACTTTTTTCCTGATATGTTTATCTTAGGGGAAATCTGTTGACTCGTACATTAGCTGATATAGTGAATAAAGAAGACTTTGTGCTGAATTCAGAATATCTCATCACTCTTCTAGTTGTAGTTCCAAAGTAAGATAATCTCGTGTCTTCTGTTTGGGGGAGGGAGGAACAGAGAGAGTGCAAGCATGTGTAGTTTCCTTTTAAGAGAGAGAGTAACTATGAAACATAGGGCCACAGTCACAAAGTCTGGATCAAGAGTTTTGATTTGGGCAACTTGGGTCTTTCTTTAAGGGTATGTCTAACTACAGTGGCACAGTTATGCTGTTGCACTGTAGTAACATAATATAGGCACTTCCTACATGGACAGAAAAGTTTTTTTCTCCCATCCATGTAATTAATCTACCTCTGAGAGGCAGTAGCTAGGTCAATGTAAAACATTTTCCACTGACCTAACTACAGCTATACTGGGGTTAGGTCAATGTAACTACAACGTTCAGGATGTGAAAATTTTCACAGCTCTGAGCACCATAGCTAGGACAATTTAAATTCTGAGCATGGACTAGACTTAAGACACATCTAGGAATTGCATAAACATGTAATTTTAAAAAGTCTGCATACACATCATATGCTAACTGGGAGCCCATTATACTGAGCTGTGTTTAGAGGCCACCTGAGACTCACTGCTTCACCTGGCAGTCCCTTGCCCTTTGCCTTTAGGGTGCTCTAGTGTCATTATTACTGAATCTCTATCATAATTGCAACTGGTCAGGGCGCAAAGGGAGAAAAAAAAAATCAAATAATAGGAAACAGCTCTAAAAAGTACCTAAAATACTGTGTCTAATATAGTCTGTTAGCTCAGGCCCTTCCAGGGTGGGCTAGGAGAGTTGGGTCCCTTTAGGAGCTACAGGCTAAAGCTGCTGTTTCTAGATCTTCATGCGTATGCAATGCCAGATTTTAATTCTGTGCTATTTTGAGGTCTCAAAAAGTCATTATTAGAAACCTTGGTCATGCCTGGCCTCCAGCTAAAATAACTAGGAAGAGGAATTCCACATGTGAGGGAATGAGGAATTAGATGTTAGTGGGCTGTTTTTTTTAAATGGCTGCAGTTTGAAACTGCTCTAGTTTTTGGCATGTAAGAATAAATCCTGGTGAAAGAGCTTCATAGGCAGGTGATTTGGAAATAGGCATTTGATAATTTATAATAAGCCATATGCTAAACCGCATGGGGCAATCACATACATATGTGTCTGTTTAGTAGACATGCCTGCTCTTTTCAGTTACTTAATGCACTTTGTTTTGTGTTGCTCAAAGGTCGAACTATGCACAATGGCAAAAAACATATGAATCCCTCTCGGACATGGTAGTGCCTCGATCCACAAAGTGAGTGAATTTCCTTAACCAGCTCCCGTTTGCTCCCCGAGATCTTTATGCTGTTTGCATCTTAATTCTATAAAGTATTGGTTTGCGGGATTATATGCCACAAAAGAGCTCCATGAGAATGTCTGGAGCTACCCTATCCTCTCAGTCTCATTGTTGCTACTCCAATCCCTAATTAAAATGGAAGCTGGTTGGTTGGGGGAAATGTGTAGATGAATGAAAATGCTTAAGGGAGTTATTTTAGAACAACCATGCTTTTCCTTTTAAATGTCTGGTGATTCAAGCCTCTCTGATTTTACTCTGACCCCTGATTACTCAACAAACCATTAAATGTTGCCTGCTATTATTAAAGTAGAGGAACATTACAATAATATGGATCATGTTCTGCCCTCATGCAAATAGGCACATCATTAAACCTAGTAGAGTTACAGACACTTACATTAGTGATGCCATTAATTGTTTCCCAATTGGGGGATGGGTTAATTTAATGTATAAGATGCCTCTTAGAGCAGCAGAAACTTCATTAACTGTTGGACTTAGCAGGAAGGAAAAAATTCCAGTGGGTAGTCAACAGCAGAAAGTGAAGCATAGCAGTTCCCAAACTCTGGGCAAGGCCCCCCAAAGTAGGTCACAGCTCAAAACCCCATTTTAAAGGGGCACGAGTTCTGGCATTAGACTTGCTGTGGCTAGGTTGAAACCAAAGCCTGAGCCCCAGCTGTAAGGAGCCTGAAGCTGTAGCTGGAGAGTTTCAGTCCTGGGCAGTGGGGCTCAGGCTACAGCCTCCCTGCTTGGCTGGCCCCTACCCTACCTAGAGCAGCAGAGCTTAGGCAGGCTCAGACTTTGGTTCTCCCTACAGGGGTCATGTGGTAATTTGCCAGAAGTGAGTTGCAGTGCCACAAAGTTTGAGAATCCCTCACATAGATCATGGCAAAAGAAAAAGTCCAGTCAAGAAGTGCAAAGCTTGGAGATGGAAGATCAGAAGGAAAGGAACCAAAGGGAGCCAGTGAAGAGCAAGTCAGGGAGTGGGCAGGAATGGGGTTTGTCTGCTATTTCCTGTCCCTAAATATAAGTGGATAGAAGGGAAGGAAGCATGGCAAACAGGAGCCAGAAAGTAGGAATAGGAAAGAAGGAAGCAAGCACATTGACACAACCCAGCCAGGAAATAGCTTGGTCCTA